CCTGTATCTGTTCCAATTATCAAATGTCAGTAGATTGTAAATCAAAAGTTGAGATATGGACATGAAAGCCGTTTAGACCGATGATGAATAGTTTCGTCTCAAAAAAATCCTAAAGTTGAAAAATCTCGATTTTGAACACCGGCCCTATATCTCTGTAATCATTCCCGATAGACCCCAAGTGTGATACATTGAGCAAATCAGCTTTTCAGGGAGAATCTAAAAATACAATTAAAAATAGGGTGTTCCATATAAAAAAATCAAATGGTACCCTGTAGATCGTTTGTTCTGAGCACCCTGTATTTTCTGATGTAGCGGAAAAAAACTCAATCAAAAATCATTCAAGATGATATTTCAAATTTTGAAATCGGTTTAAAAATAATTGAGCTAGAGGGAGGGACATTTATGGTGAATCACCCTGTACACATAACCAAAAAATTAAATTGTCCAGCAAGATCCACGAGGTTAGAGCATTCTCGCCAGGGGAAATGGGGAAAGAAAAAGGAGGTGGATAAGGGTTAGTTGGTATGAAAAAATAATAACAAGAAAGTCGAAAAAATAAAATGAAAGAAAATAAAAATAAAATAACTCGTGAACAAAAAATATTTATATTCTGTTGAAAACGTAATGTAAACTCAAAAAAAAACAACATAACCGACAACCACTCACCTAACGCGAGTAGCACAACAATGACTAATCAGTAATCGGTCTACGCCGTTCCTGTAACAAGCCACCCCACTGACCCCACTCCTTCGTAGTCGGCTGGCCGAGCCCGCGTGCAGGGTGCAGCCGTAGGTATAATGTTTCCCGCGATGCGATGGATGCATAAATATTATTTAGGTAGTTTATAACCGCTACATGCGTCTTTGAAAATAAATGATATTCTGGAAGTTATACATTTATTACATTTTCGTCACCAGAGCTTTTTTACGATGTTTCAATACCTACTCAGCTCTTGGACTGCTGACATTTTTCTTGCCATATTACCTACATAGGCAGAGGCACAGTAGGTTACATTACAGCAATATTCAAATTGAATTATAACTTATTGACGCTCAGAAGCACTGAAGGAAAATTCGGATACCAATATTAGATGGATATGTTGAATTATGAATTACTGAAAAATTGCAAATTCAAAAATCACCAGTCATTTTTACTGCAACTACTGCAAGCGTAAACAAAAACATGGAAATTATTTTTCTTTCCAGTTTGTACATTTCAAATTCCAACATCAACTTACAAATAAGTATAGGAATTAAAATTATAAATACCTACAATGTAAAATGAAAATAGAATGTCAATCATGCCAATCCGTATATTAAAAATTAGGTCGGAATGGTTCGATACGGTTCACAGCGAGCGCACTGCAAACAACCATAGATTAAAATACTGAAAAGTACGATCGATACGTTGGACGGCCAGCAGAGCTTGGCCGCACCCAAGGTATGACGCGATAAGCGAAAATTTAAACTTGAAGCGGGGAATCTGTAGGCGATGCCTGTGGCGATGTGTCGAGACAAGAAATCACCGATCGGCCGGCCGTCTGCATCAGTGTAATGAGCTACGCGAGCGGTTCAACTGAAAGCGGCGTTTTGACGATGGGATTACCAGATGTCGTGGGTCCTGAATTAGTTCGTGATTTTCGGTGTATATGCGGATGGCATACTCAAAGGTTACATAAATGAAATTCAAATAATAGTGGCATAACAGTAGGATAATGAGCGATGAATTATGAAAACAGTTTCGGAAAATAATTTTATTCATCAAATAGTTCAGTAATTTTCCCCAAATTATTTGGTACGGCCCGGCCGACCCTGCCGTCCCTGACGAGCCGTCACTGGTGTCAGCAAAATTAATATTTGCTGCCAATCGGAGGAAAAAGTAATTTTCTGAAGTGACATTCTATATGGTATGGGAAGGTCTTCATATGTTTTTTTTTTCAGTGTTTCCATGGAAGAGAGTTTGTTTCTCCTCATCATGTTGGGGATGCAAACCCACATACCGAACACTGCAAGGAGAACATCTTACGATAAGACCTGGTTCAGTAGAAACTGCTCTAGAGCTGTAAGACCTGGTTCAGTAGAAACTGCTCTAGAGCTGTCGCTTCCAAACAGGCAGCATTCCATCGATGGCAGAAAAATCCAGGTTCTGAGACTAGAGCAGAATATGTCGAGGCTAGAGGCATATGCAATGAGACAATTCGATCATCAAAGGATACTCATAATTGAGATGTTTATAATTCCTAAACCTGTTGAATGTCCTAACGGATCCCGTTCATTTTGGTCCTTCGCTAAGGCTGTAGGAAGAAACATCACTTCCAGATCGTTTCCTTCTCTAACCAAGGAAGATGGAACACTAGCCACAACTGCCCAGGAAGAAGCCAACATTTTTGAGCATTTCTTTGTTGGAAATTCCACTCTGGATCCATCGGGAAAACAACCTCCAAACATAACGCCAATTGACAGTCATATGCCCGAGATCACCTTTCGTCAACGTACTATGAGGAAGATTTTATTGGGTCTCAACACCAACAAAGCTTGTGGCTCTGACGGAATCCCACTGATTGTTCTCAAGAAATGTGATCCCGAACTAACACCTGTTCTCTGCGAGTTGTTCAACTACTCTTACAAAATGGGGATATTCCCGTTCAACTGGAAAATTGTAAAAGTACAACCAGTTCCTAAAAAAGGCAAAAATAGTTTAACACTAGAGTCTAGCCATAGCACCAGTGCGAGAATATTGCGCCTGGTGCGCAGGTCGCTGGGCGCGAGAAACAGAAAATTTCGTTGCTTGCTCGCTCGCTCGCCGAGCGCGAGAAGCGAGGCGAGAAGGGTTGCGGCCGTGCGGCGCGGGACAAATATTGGAGCGAAACAATAAAGATCATCTAATCATTGGTAAAAGAATACCCAATACCCTTAATTGGCGGCGAATCATGTATCACGGGAAGGAGATTTGTTGGTTGCCATTCGAACTGTTTCCAGAATATGTACTCATTTATCGTTTGACCTCCAAGTCTAGCGTTTCACACTTTAAAAATGCAATCGAACTGTTGTGCAGAATGTTCGAAAACATTCAGTTTTTTTCAAAATCTCAGAACTCATTGTTTGAAGTTACATCCAACAAAGATAGCCCCGTCGAAGAAAAGTGAAAAAGTGTTTTCCTGTGATAAATGTGGACAACAGTTTATAAATCAGAGGGAGTTAAAAATTCATACAAAGAAATGTAACAATTCATATACAAATACTATGAAAGAAACAGGTAATTCCACTTGTCCAATGTGCAGTGAAAAATTATTGAGTAAACAATTCGAGAGACATTTGGAAATTTCACATGACTTAACGTTGGTTAAAGAAAATATTGAATTTCCATCTTATGAAAAATATATCGAATGGAAAAATGATATTGAACAGAAAGAAGGAACTTACTTCATCAAGATTAGAGGAACGAGAAAAACATCCAAATTAGAGAGACAATATTTTCACTGTCATCGTTCGGGAAATTTTCACTCGACGAGCACTGGAAAGAGGAAAGTTAAAATACAGGGCAGCAAAAAAATTAATTCTAATTGTCCTGCTTCCATCAAAGTGACCAAGGATATTATTACTGGTATATGCAAAATTGTTTACACAAAAACGCATATTGGACATAAGAACGAACTATGTTACCTAACCATGACTAAGAAGCAACGTGAAGCTTTGGCTGCTAAAATTGCCCAGAAAATACCCTTTAGTGACATTTTGGATGAGGTTCTAGGAATGTACTTTCATGTAATACTATCAGAATATTCGCATGGAACATTCCATAAATATTCGCAACATACTGAGAACTTTCTATGCATATTCTTCAGAATATTATTCTAGAAGATGACATTTTCGCAGCTTGTAAGAATATTCTGAGAATATTCGTGCTATCTGGGGATATATATATGTAATAATTATGAACAGTACAGTGTTAATTCAATTTGAATAAATTGATTTGAGGTGTGTCACGATTCTAGGGATCACCCTGTAACATGGTATCAACTAGGAAAGCAGTTGTCTAATGTATCATTTCACAACAATGACTTATTTGTTTTTGTTTCGCTGCAATTTCTCGCGCCCAGCGACCAGCGCACCAGGCGCAATATTCTCGCACTGGTGCTATGGCTAGACTCTAGTGACGGAGTTTCATCTGACTGTCTCATTATAATAAATACTGGTGTTCCGCAAGTATAAATTCTAGCACCAACACTATTTCTACTCCATATCAACGATTTGTTGGAAGCAACTTCATGTCCAGTACACAGCTTCGCGGATGATAGTACCCTCCATACCGTCGTCTCTTCTTGGGCTTCAATACTAGCCAGGCAAATCAGAAATGAACGAGGGAGAAATGTTGACAACGTAAATATGGACTTGGCAACAATTCTCGAATGGGGATCCAATAACTCCAAGGTCCATAGTGTGTCAAATAATTGGCCGATTCTAGCCGTTTGTTTTCGAGTTTTCAGTAATTGAGTAAAAATACAAATTCTGATATTATCAATATTTGTCTATTCCCATGAATATTACCTTGTCATGTAGGAATGCAATACTCTGTATGTGATATTATTATCTATTCGAATAGAGGGACTCATGAGGTAGGAATTAGACGTGGAGTGTTTATTTCTACTGAAGATTTATCACGATTTAGAGCACATAATTCAAATCGATGCAAAATATTCTAAGCAGCCAAAATCAAATGATTGACACCCTGTAGCTCGAAAACTGGTCATAGCATCGATCTGTTAATTGGACTGTGTAATAAGGACGCTGATATCTGGAATATATCAAAATTTTCAGAAGAATTAGCCGAAAGCCATTTTCCGTACCAAATGAGCGGGGTTCTCGCATTCTGTGCCCTTTCCTGCACTTTCGTGCTTTGAAAGCCAAGTATAAGATGAAGGTGTGGGAACTGTCTGCAGGAACTCGTAAAGAAAAACCGTTAACAATTGAACATTGAACAATTGTCAAACAAATGACATGACTTGTGTCAGTTACTCAGTTTAGAATAGCGTCAGTTCAGTTTGAAAATGGTAAAGCAAAATATTGAAATTATTTTCAAATCTGGAAAATAACATAAACAAAATATATAGACTTGAGCTACGATAAACGAAATATAACTGATTTTTCAGAAGAACTTTGATTTTCTTGATTAGTGATGATGATACATGAATTGTGAGGGACATATAAAAAAGTGAAACAATGAATAAGAAAAGGAATTCAAAGTAAGTGGTCTTTGGAATGATAATAATGATATCCTCCTAATCCTAATCCCCTACTATTGAGATCCTTAGAATCACTGATATTTGAAATGAAGCTCCCAAACTGGCCAAACTGGTCATGAAATATCATCTAAATTATGCTGAATTTGTCAGGCAAACTGAAACCCATCAATGATCTTTCAGACTAGGTGCATAAATAATCGTGTCCTATTGTTGATGAGTTATGCAGCAATCTCCCTTGTTTTAGTTTGTCTTATGTCTTGACCTCTGTCTTGACATTATTATCCTTGTTCTTTGATGTCTTGGTCATGGTCAAGTTGTTTGAGGGGGAAACAACTGCCCAAAATGTGTACACCTTATTTAATCATCAGGTACCTACTTGAGGCTTAAACAAGTATTAAAGTATTTGGAGTGAGATTTATAGCATATTTTAAATACTCACCACTTAGTACTTGAGAGCATAAGTACTTGAGAGCATACTGAAGCTTTCTTTTAATGTTTTGAAAATGGTATTTAAGTACTTGAAATTTCAGGGGGTACACCTATTTAAAGAGTTGTTTCCCCTTGGAATAATCTATTACAAATGTGATTTCAATTCTGGACAATGCATAAATTGTAAGTCATAATCTTGAGAACCATATTCTTATGACAAATATATGGGAACTATGAAATTATTGTCATATGAACTGATCTCAAAACTGATCAAGTGCTACTTCAACTCTATTGTCTCAACCTCAACCTCAACCCCCCTAGAATTATAAAATTTCCTTTACAGCTAATAAATATGCAATGTTTATCGTTCAGTTAATCCCCTATCCCCAACTTAAGGATCAAGAATTCTTGAAATATAGATTTCAGCAGTCTCACTAAGAAGGGAAATAATAAAGAGAGTGTATAGGCTGCCGACCAGTCAGCAAACTATACTTTCTCTCTAGACTGCCCACCATTCAATGGAATAAATTCTATCTGTATAATAAATAGGTCTGCAACATAAACAAAAGGATTATATGGTGACTGGTCCACAGTCTATACTTTTTTTCGTATGCTGACCAGTCAGCAGACTATACTTTTTCTCTAAACTGCTGACCATTCAGTGAAATACATTCTTTCTTTATAACAAAAAGATCCAAGAGGGTTAGTTGCTTAGTGGTTAGATATTGGCTTGTCAATCCTGTGGTCCCCTGTTCAAATCCCATATGGAATAGTTTTTTTAATTTTTCTTTCAATACATTTTTTTTCAACAGATTTTTGTTTCCTAATCTAGTTTTCCCCCTCTCCATTGTTGGTTCACAAGATTTTTTTGATCAGGTTTTTGTTACACAAATAGGTTAGTGTGTTTGCATAAGTATATCTCAACAATCAACATCATTAGCGGTTTTTGTGTTTGTCTGTCTCCAATTATTTTATAATCCAATACAAAATGTCATTTGATAGAAACATTTCCAGATACATTTGATCTTTAACCCCAAAATAAAATTGTATTTCATTCCTTAGGTTTTTGTCATTTCAGGGCCATTCATTTTCACAATATTTCTTTATTTCCTTCAAAATTGGATCATTATTTTTGGCTTCTCTGAATTCAGTTTTTCTACTATTCCACATCGGTAAATTATTATATACTGCATGTACTACAAAGTTACAAATACAAAAATCTCTATTTCCATCAACTGAAATACATCAGTATAGGCATTGTCAAGGTCAGAAAAAAATATAAAACAATACTAGAATAGAAAAATAGTAGAATAAAATGAGACCTAGCCAAATTACATTATATATACAGTGTGGTCATTTAAGTGTGCAACATATGGGAATCTTTTTAATGAATTGCAAAATCAGAATACAGATAGTGCCGAAAGTTGGTGCATGTTTAGTTATCATTTCAGGTGCACTTAAAATGGTTGCAAGTCAAACAGCATACAGGGTAGGTCAAAAAATATAAAAATTGCTCAAGAGTAAAGTACCCTTATTTCAAAAAATTCAGCAAAATGTTAGAAAGAAAAGTTGTTTACAATTGAAAGTAATACCTACATACCAAAACATGGCCTCCTAAGACATTTTTTTAGTTTTTCAATTTTGTTCGTTGATAATTTCCCAATTTGTAATATTTTGAATATGCATATTATCATTTATGATGTTTGACCTTGTTAAAAATATGGTTTGCGGAATTTTAAAGTTGAGCTGAATATCGTTGCAACAAACATAGAGTTTGCGATTCCCTAAAAAAATTAAAATCCAAGATAATTGCACAAATATGCTTGAATTTGAGCTAAGGTATGCTCAACTGATTTTGTTATGATAAACTTATGAAAGCATCTATGGTGAATATAAAAAAATTACAAATTGGGAAATTATTCACAAACAAAATTGAAAAACAAAAAAATGTCTTAGGAGGCCATTTGTTGGTATTTATGGCATAACTTTCAATTGTTAACAACTGTTCTTCATAACATTTTGCTGAATTTTCTGAAATAAGGGTACTTTACTGAGCAATTTTTATATTTTTTGACCTACCCTGTATGCTGTGTGACTTGCAACTTGCACATAAAATGATAACTAAACATGCACCAATTTTCGGCACTATCTGTATTCTGATTGTGCAATTCATTAAAAAGATTCCCATTGAATGACCACACTGTATATATGAACAGTAATAACATCACTAACAAAACATTATCTAGGTACATTAAACATGTACATTTTGATGGCTGTAATTTTAGGACCATTCTCCACTTGGGTTAGTGAGTACAGTGGAACATAAATTGTAACTGCAGCTCTAGTACAATAAGGATTTCTTTCCCCACATAAAATACCCCTGTCGCAAAAATGCTTTCTATGGGAAATGCTAGGCTTGAGGTGTCATATTTCTCAGTATGCACTTTTGCCAAGTTAGTACTTTATGGGTGTCTGTAGCATTTCCCTAGCAAATCAGCCCATGTGAGATTATCTATCAAGTGAACTGCAGCATAGTAATACATTTTGAGGTTGTCGAGATTTATTAATAATTGTATTATGGAAAAAATTTTGCTCACTAGGTTTGTTATCAAATGAACTATGTGGTTGTCCCATGCTAGATGAGGATCAAGCCATAGACCTCGCCATAGACCCAGAAACTTTACTTCCTCAGCTGGAATGATGCTTTAACCGTCGCATTTAACCAGTAGGCTGTAGTCTGGTTTGACAACTATTGGTGTGAAATAAATGAAATTATATAGTTTTTTCCTTATTTAAAACGAGGCCACTCTGCTTGCTGAAAGAGCATATGATATCTACGTTTTGATTTGCTGAATAAACTACATTAGCTATGTTTTTACCGGCGATTGCTGCACTAGGGTCATCAGCTAATAATGTTATTATTGGAGAATCACTAGCACCTAGTATCAGTAATGTTATTAATGAAAACAAGAGATAGGATCATTCCTAGTATACTACCTTGGGGGACTCCACGGGTTGACATTACAGTGTCGGAATATTGGTTAGTGTTATTCATGCATAATTTGAAAAATTGATTTATCTCAGTTAGATAAAATTTGAGCCAGCTATGCATAGGACCCCGAGTGCCATACCAATGAAGCTAATAGGATATTGTGATGAAGACATCAAAAGCGCGAGAGTAGTCATTTCTGGATCATCTTCAGGAATTTTAGTTTTATCAAATGATCTAGACATAGTCTAAGATCCACCGGTGTGAAAATAGAAACGGTCTCCGTATCGGAAACGAAATGATAGTATATGCGCACAGGTGTAAAATGTTATTACATCGATTCTTCCGTTTTAACATTCAGATATCGACTGAAACCATTGCGATCCAAATGTTTTGCGTCAATATGATGATTATAATGATGAATTGGGGTATACACACAAATAGGGTGCTACTACCCCTATATATAGATTAATATCTTCAGAACTAATCAAAACCAAATTAACTCATCGTTTTTGAAAATCTATATTCGATAGGATATACAAAATGAGTGAGAGAAACATACCAACCCTGTTCCAGAATTTGTATCTCAAAACTCACCCTGGAAACCACCCCCGAATAGATGAAAATTACGTAAAATTATGTGAAATAATCGTTTCTGAAAATTTCTTTCTGACAATATCATCAGAACGAACAGAGAAAACATACCTACCCTGTTTCAGAATTTGTATCCCAAAACTCACCCTGAAAACCACCCCCGAATAGATGAAAATTACGTAAAATTATGTGCAATAATCGTTTCTGGAATTTTTTTTCTCACAATATCATCAGAACGAACAGAGATAACATACCTACCCTGTTTCAGAATTTGTATCCCAAAACTCCCCCTGAAAAGCACCCCCGAATAGATGAAAATTACGTAAAATTACTCGTAAAATTATGTGCAATGATCGTTTCTGAAAATTTTTTCCTCACAATATCATCAGAACGAACAGAGAAAACATACCTACCCTGTTTCAGAATGTGTATCTCAAAACTCACCCTGGAAACCACCCCCGAGAAAACATACCTACCTCGTTTCAGAATTTGTATCTCGAAACTCACCCAGGAAACCACCCCCGAATAGATGGAAATTACGTTAAATTATGTGCAATGATCGTTTCTGAAAATTTTTTTCTCACAATATCATCAGAACGAAGAGAGAAAACATACCTACCCTGTTTCAGAATTTGTATCTCAAAACTCACCCTGGAAACCACCCCCGAGAAAACATACCTACCTCGTTTCAGAATTTGTATCTCAAAACTCACCCTGGAAACCACCCCCGAATAGATGGAAATTACGTAAAATTATGTGCAATGATCGTTTCTGAAAATTTTTTTCTCACAATATCATCAGAACGAAGAGAGAAAACATACCTACCCTGTTTCAGAATTTGTATCTCAAAACTCACCCTGGAAACCACCCCCGAGAAAACATACCTACCTCGTTTCAGAATTTGTATCTCAAAACTCACCCTGGAAACCACCCCCGAATAGATGGAAATTACGTTAAATTATGTGCAATGATCGTTTCTGAAAATTTT